AAATAGAACGAGAATGGATGAACTATGAATGAAGTGAGTACAAATAGGAAACCCTAACTGGGTTGTACCCCCTATGGGATACCCCACTACAGCCTACACAATAGTATAAGCTATATATATATGTTCTGACAAAATGTGCCATTTTTGTTAGTCGATCGACGACGACCAGGATCGCGTCATGCCCACTCGCCCCAGCCGGTAACCCCGTGACGAAGTCCATCGTCACCTGCTGCCAAGCACCCTCTGGGGGTGGGATTGGTTGCAATTGTACCGCCGGCCGCTTCCTGCTTGACTTCATGAGCTGGCAAGTGGGACACGATGCCACGTGTCGTTGCACGTCGGTCAACATTTCCGGCCAGTAGTAGTACCGCTGCAGCTGCTGCCGTGTTTTTCTACTCCGAAATGTCCCGAGGTTACTCCGTCGTGTGCCTCCTGTAACAGTAGTTCCCGTAGTAGTGTGTACCCTGGTACCCAGATGCGGTCGGTTCCAACTTTTACGTAATAGACTCCCTTGGCTGCTACAAACTTCTGCGAATTTCCTCCTGTGAAGAATGGGTCTGTTTGATATCCGTAGGTAAATAGTCCTGTCAGTAGCGGGCTGGTCTAAGCGAGTAGTATCGCATGGATCTGGGCAGTGGGGCGGGTCAGTGCGTCGGCGATGTTCGAGGCTCCTTTTTTATATGTGACCGTATAGTGGAAATTCGACTCGAGGAAATCGAGCCACCGAATCTGTCGTGGGTTGAGGTGGGGCTGTGCTCGAAGGTACTGTAGTGATCGATGGTCTGTCCGTACTGTCACGTCTGCGCCGGTCAAGTAGCAACGCCATACTTTGAATGCGTGCACGATCGCGAGCATTTCGCGGTCGTGTATCGGGTAATTTCGCTCAGGTGGATGTAGCTTGCGTGATTCGTAGGCGATGGGTTGGAGGCCATTGCCGAAGTCCTGTAACAGTATGGCTCCGATGGCGATGTCACTCGCGTCGGTAACAACTTCGAAGGGGCGGTGTGGGTCAGCGATGCGTAGGACGCGTGGTGAACAGAGAACATTTTTCAGGGCAGAGAAGGCAGCATGCTCTTTCTCCCCCCACGTAAAAGGGACCCCCTTACGCAGTAAATCAGTGAGCGGGGCTGTTAAGCGTGCCATGTCGGGGACGAACCGTCGAACGTAATTAACAAACCCTAAAAAACTCTGAAGTTCCGTGATGTTCGTCGGTGGGTGCCACGCTTTTACGGTAACCAGCTTCTTAGGGTCGATTTCTACCCCAACCTCCGAAATAACGTGTCCTAAAAACTCTAGTCTGTCCCGAAAAAACTCGCACTTGGAGCCCTTGGTGAGTAACCGATGTTCCTCTAAAACCTTAAAAACTGCTTCGAGATCTACTAAGTGCTGCTGCTTGTCCCGACTGTAAACGAGGATATCGTCGAGGTAAACTATCACGCATTTATCTAAAAGTGGCCTAAACGCCTCGTTCATGGTCATCTGAAATGTTGCAGGCGCGTTGGTCAGCCCGAAAGGCATCACTGTGTACTCGAATGACCCGTACCTAGTCCTAATTGCTGTCTTGGCGCAGTCCGATGGTTCGACCCGAATCTGATGGTAACCTCCCCGTAAGTCGATTTTCGAAAATACTCGTGCTGTTCGCAGCTGGTCGATCAGTTCGTCGGCGCGGGGGATGGGGTATCGTGATTTGACTGTTACCCTGTTAAGCGCTCGGTAGTCGATGCACATGCGAAAACCCTCCGTCTTTTTTCGGTGTGAACAGTATCGGTGCGGCGAATGGTGACGAGCTCGGTCGGATAAACTGCTTCTCTAACAGGTAATCTAACTGCTTCCTTAGTTCGTCGAGCTCGGGCTGTGTCAGTCGAAATTGGCGCTGTACAGTTGGCTGTGCCCCCGGTTCTAATTCGATCCTATGGTCATGCGCCCGCTGAGGTGGCAGCCCTTGCGGTAAGTCATCCGGAAAGATACACGGGAACCGTTTCAGTAGTGCCTGTAGTTCGGGCGGTACGGCTGCCAACGGTTTCTGAAAATCACTCGGCTGCTCCTCTTTTTCCACTAATGCGATATCCACTGCGTACACGTCAGCTCCAGCAGTGACAGCCCGTTTCATCGTGATGGCGTTGACCTGGACCGTCGAAGACTCGGGTGGCTGCCAGCGAGGTAGGACGACCTAGTTACCACTACTTCGCACTATGCAGCTACCCGTCGTCCAGTCAATTCGTGGGTTATACCGTCGCAGCCATTCACGTCCCAATAAAATGTCGTGCCCATCCAGTGTCGTTGCGAGCATTTCCTGTGTAAACCCGAAGTTCCCTCCGCAACGGGCTTTTACTCTCTCCACCTTTTCCCGTATAGCCACTGGCGTGCCGTCGACTAAGCGTGCATCTATCTCAGGTAAGCATCGGTTAAGTGTCAACTGTAATTTCCGTGCGGTCGCGGTATTAACTAAGCTGTGACTTGCTCCTCCGTCAATAAAAATCTTCACTGCTGCTCCCTGTATTTTCCCGTAGATCAGTACTGGGCAATCCGTCGCTGTACCCTCCTTATTCATCCGAGCCCGATCGATGGCGTGAATCGGTACTGTGACTCGGTGAGGGTCGGTGTGGTTGGGCGAGCAGGCAGTCTCGTCAGTAGTTGGCCCAACTTCTACTGACTGCTGGCGTTTCCCTGCCTCCTTCCCCTGCTCTGCTCCTCGACGCCTCAGCTCCTCTGGACATTCGCTCTTGCGATGGCCCGGCCGGTTGCAAGCAAAGCAGCGCCCTCTAAACGGCGCGGCAGCTGCATTCGCTACGACGGCATGTACAGTGGCGTGCTCGGTCGGTCCCCGAGGACGATGTCCGGAATAGGACCCCAGTCTCGGTCGGCGTAGGATATCGATTTTCTCGGCGAGCGCGAGGATCTCGTTGAAATTCGTCAGTAGTTGGCTCGACTTCTACTAACTGCTGGCGTTTCCCTGCATCTGAGACTCCCTCCCCTGCTCTGCTCCTCGGCGTCTCAGCTCCTCTGGGCCTTCGCTCTTGCGGTGGCCCGGCCTGTTGCAAGCAAAGCAGCGCCCCTTAAACGGTGCGGCAGCTGCATTCGTTGCGACGGCATGTACAGTGGCGTGCTCGGTCGGTCCCCGAGGACGATGTCCGTAATAGGACCCCGGTCTCGGTCGGCGTAGAATGTCGATCTTCTCGGCGAGCGCGAGAATCTCGTTGAAATTAGAGAGTCCGCGCAGCATTATCTCGTGCGAGATGTCCGGCTTCAGCCCTCCGACGTAACGGTCCACCCGCTCCGCTTCGTGCATGTAGCCGACCTGCTCGCAAAGTGCGAGAAAACCGCTGGTATAGTCTTGAACTGACCCGAGCTGGCGCCAAGTGCGCAGTTTCTGACGCGCCGAAATTGAAGCCGCGATCGGCTCAAAACGCGCCCGAAGCCCTGCGCACCACGCATCCCACGTGCTGTATTGGGCGGTCTCGCAGAACGAACTCCAGGTGACAGCTGGACCCGAGGGCCCTTCCTCGTGCGACGGTGGCTCGTAGGCGCGTGGCGACGTCACGATGACTTGCCACCAGTCCATGGCGGGGCCCCTTAGCAGTGAAACCGCATACCGGATCTTTGCGGCGTCCGACTCGACGTAATTGGCGTCGAAGAAAACGTTCATCGTGAAGACCCACGATTGAACTGTCGGACCGCCGCGTTGACTTGGGTCGAAGCAGGGCGGGCGTTGCGGCTTGAGCGGCATTGGTGCCATGTTGGAGTGTTCGCCACTTGTCGCCGCAAATTTCACGTGCCGACGGACTTCTCGGGGCTCCCGTGGGCTTGGTGCGATCCTGTTTCCTCCCATGCCAGGCATCGGCTGGGCGGCGCCCTCACTGGCTGCGCCTGAGCGTTGTCCCGTGCTGTCGTGTTGTGTTGGTGTGCCGGACGAGATGATGATCGGCTCGTCCGAATGTGCAGATGCGTTTGTTGGTGCGTGGGATGTCGTCGGTATGTTCACCGTAGACTGTTGACGGGCGGAGTCACGTTCCGCCGTGAGAGTCGCGATTTCGAGCGCCGAGTCCTCCAGTTGACGCACGAGACGATCGAGTTGCTCTTGCGTCAATGTGGCGAGCGTGAAATCGGCCATGGCGGGGATGTCGGGCAAGCTCAGCGAGAGCCTCGGTCGTGGCCGTGCGTGCTTGCAAGAGAGCACTACGAGCGGCGGTGCTGTATCGCTGAGAGACGTCTACCCCCCCCAAAAAATTGAGATAGTGGGAAGCGAAGGTGTGGATGCGGTCCGAGATGAGATCGTAGGCTCTGAATACCAAGTGTTACGAGTGCAATTGAGTGAACGAACGAGAATTGCACTATCGAAGCAAGAATACAATGAGCGAAGGCATGAGCGAAGAATATATAGCGAAACTACAGTGGTAACGGTAATGGTCGCGCGACGAGCCTGGGACTGAGGTTGGGAAAGTGTCGAAGCGTAGGCCCGGAGCGCGGGTTACCAGCCGAGCCGTGAGGTCGGGATGCGATGTGCGAAAATGGCGGGATGATGAATGATGCGATGGTCGCGAGTGGTAACGGTGCTGACTGAGGTGCTACAGTGATGTACGCGTTGAGCAGGGATGCGGAGTAAGGAAAAGGGAATTTCCTTACACCTACCCACAATCCACTAGATTCTTATTAGCTAAGCTTCAGTTCATAATAGTTCATTTAGAGCTGTTTCTCTGGAAGGAGAGGGCGTACAAACTTTGTAGAAAAGGCATGAAGCCGATATGATGGATGGCAGTTTTTCCAAAGCAACACCTACCACAATGCAAGGATCATATACGTGACATTGTGTGCACCATGATACCACACACACAAGCTGTATTGCTGTTCTTTGGTAATCAGCACCTCACAAACCGTGAGTGGCAGAAAGGGTCTTAACCCACACTGTTCCTTGCTGCAGCAAACCGGTCAATGTTGACATGTATGGCCCTTTGACTCTTATCGAATCACTGCTGTAGCAGGGAAACTCCAGCTGTCGCCACCTAAACGCGCATCTTGACGACGTTTTGAATGAGTGTGCCAAGGCCAGGCAGTCCCTTGGCCATGATCTCAATCCGCGCTGGGTTGGAGGCGTGCTTGAATAGCGAGAGACCAAATGAGATGAGCTGTGGGGAAAAGGCAGACAGCATGGGAAGGGAGAGGCAAGTGGCATGGGAATCAGACAAGGGAGCGTGGCCAAGTGGAAGGGGTACTATGACTGTTTGTTCCAGAATGAACTGGGAGACTAAGGACAGGAAGGAGGATGGCAGGAAGGAGGAGCGCACAGGAAGTAATTCATCAAGCATTTCCGTTTGAAAGTAAAGGGAGGATGACGGGCAGCATACCTCCATGATGTTGAGGCGAGAGGAGAGGAAGCCATGCCACTGGTAGGGCGTGAGGTCAAAGAAGGCGTCAAAGAACCGCCGGTTGCCTGCTAGGTCCAGCTGTGATGGGGAGGGGGGTGAGGGGAGAAGGGGCGGGGAGGGGAAGGTGTGCGTGAGAATTCAGCTCAAAGGAGAGTCAGCGTGACAGGAGGAGCAGGAGGGAACAGAGGGGAACAGAAGGAAGTTTTGAAACCTTGTTGGGAAGTTGGAGGGCCAATCCTGAAGAAACATCCACCTTGAGCAGCACAGCACCTACCCGGAGCAGCACAGCACCTACCCGGAGCAGCACAGCACCCACCCGGAGCAGCACGTCCATGCCGAAGCAGAAGAACTCGCGCTGCTCCTTGCGCCACAGCGGCCACACGTCCTCCCACACGCTTGCTGACAAGCTGTCGCCGCCCCTCCGCTCGCCCTGCTCCCGCCCCTCCCGCTCCAGCTGCTTCACTATTGCCGCCGCCACCACTGGCGCTGCTGCCAGTGTCCGTGCCACCATGTAGCCTGGGAAAGAGTGACCAAAGGGGGGAATTTCGATAAAGAGGAGACTTTGAGACGTCTCAAAACGCAGACACGCTGTCACTCCCCTCTGCTCGCCCTGCTCCCAGCCCCTCCCGCTCCAGCTGCTTCACTATTGCTGCTGCCACCACTGGCGCTGCTGCCAGCGAGCGCGCCACCATGTAGCCTGGGAGAGGAGGAGGGGGGGCAAAGGGGGGAATAGCTTGAGTTGACTTGAGATGGAAGGGAGGGGCACAGACAAGGAGGGTGTTACAGATTGAAACGGGGTAAGTGAAGATGACTCATGGGCCTGCTGGGAGCGAGTGAGCCACCATGTAGCTTGGAGAAGGGAAATTTAGAGAAAAGGGGAACATAGAGGGAAAGATGGGGCAGAGGTGCAGGGTGGAGCATGGTGGTGCAAGAGTAGGGATGGAGCATGGTGGTGCGAGATTAGGGATGCAGCATGGTCGTACCAGTGGAGGGGTGGACCATGCCCGCTGTGCCTCCTATCCCCAGCACACGTTGCGGCATGTCTGGCAGCACACCTCCCATGGGGATCAGGCAATATCTGCACAGCGCACGCCAAGTAGGAATGACATGCACACATAGTAGAGGTGGTATGTACACATAGATGACTTATGAGCCCTTGGGAATCAAGCAGTACCTGCGTAGTGCATGCCGCGTAGCTTTGGCATGGACGCATAGGGATGAGGCGAGGGTGGTTTCGGGCTACTTGAATGCGGACCGGAGATATGATGAATTGATGGGGAAAGAGTGGATAGGCCAGGGAAGGGGTGCAGAAGGGTGCAGAAGGGGTGCGGAAGTGGTGAGGAAGCGGTGGGGAAGTGGTGGGGAAGCGGTGGGGAAGCGGTGGGGAGCGGGTGGGTGGTGAAGGGGTGGGGAAATAGTGAGGAAGCGGTGGAAAGGGGTGGGGAAGGGCTGGGGAAGGGCTTCAGTTTAGTCTGGCTGTTCCATTCAGCGAGCTACAGGAGACACCACGTTCGAACACAGCAAGTGCACCCCTGCGTTTCCACTGGTAAACTACATGAACCATGCGCTGCTTGCGTGAAGACACTCTGAAGAATTCCAATTGAGTGTTCTTACTGACCAATCCCATAGAAATAGCCAGTCATGGGCCCAGCCGCTGCAAGCTCCCCACCACTCACTCTTGCTCGGTGATGGCGTTCACTTTGATGCCCAGGTGCGCCAGGCGCTTCTCCAGGCGCCTTTGGATCTCGTCAAACGCCACGGCTGGCCGCGCCACTAGCGACGTCTCCTCTGCACGGCATGGAGCAACATGGCGCGGGAAAGACGGGTGGAGGGGCGGACGAGCAAACATGTGGTTTCTGGTTTGATTTGAAGGTAAAGCGGGGACATGCATATGCTCAGATAGTCATTCGGGGGTGGTAGAATCAGGCAGCTTTGCAGGGGACAAGACAAGAACAGCGTCGCGGGCTTAGAAGGCTGGCAGTGGGCGAGAGGGGTATGGCGTAGAGGGAAGCGATTTCTAGGTTCACTTAAAAGTCACCTATGGCGTAGAGTTTTTGAGGAAGGTGAGTTTTTGAGTCAGTTCCAAAGGCGTACCTAGAGAGATGGTGGTCCGGGAGAGGGACATGACGTGGAGGAAAGTAATCTCTAGGGTACACTTAAAGTCACCTATGGTGTAGAGGAATCCGAGTCTGACTTAAAGGCGTACCTAGAAAGACGGTGGTCGGGGAGAGGGGCATGGCGTAGAGGAAGGTGGGGAGGTCGGCGTTGCTCTTCTGCATGGGCGTCCCCGGGGCGAGATGCGAGTCCCGCCAGTCCATGAACACCATCTGATCCAGCGCGAACGGATGTGAGTCCACCTGAGGCAAGAAGCAGGGAGGAATGCGACGGACAGAGAGGGGCACACTTCTCGTGTGAGTGAGTCCTGCCAGTCCATGAACACCATCTGGTCCAGCGCGAACGGATGTGAGTCCACGTGATTCAGTGAGCAGGGCGGAAGGGAAAGAATAAACAGGGGCGCTTTTCGTGTAAGTGAGTTACGCCAGTCCATGAAGACCATCTGGTCCAGCGCGAACGGATGTGAGTCCACCTGAGGCAACGAGCAGGAAGAAGTGCGCGAGCACGTTTGGTGGGAGAAAAGCCAGTATCGCCCTTTTTGTCCTGCGTGCACGAGTTCCTTCCACCTGTGCCTGATCACCTTCGCTTTACGTTGTTTTTAGTTGGGTTGGGAAGCCAGATTCACTTTCCATTCATCTTCCTAATCAGAAAACGGTCTTTGCTGAACACGCGTTCAAAAGAAATACCCTAATGTGCGATTTCGTGGCACTTGCAACTTTTCTCTTGCCAAATCTTATCGTTATTTTCTCTCCTTTTCGTACTGTTCATTCCGCAGCCCGTAAGCATTCGCACCCACACATACCTCGGCAACGATTCCCCACGCGGCCTGGTAGCCCGGGTTGTACGGCTGCGAGTACTGCACGAGGCGTCGCGAGAAGCCTGTGGCGTCCAGCACCAGCGCCGCTCTAATCTCCGTGCCGTCGCTGCATCGCACCACCGAGTTATCTGCTGTGTGCTCCACGCTGTCCACCTGCGATGCCAAGAATAAACTCAGACCTCAATGTTTGCCAACTTGGCTCCAACTTAGGTAGAAAACTACTTTACACGAACTTCATTTTCTGAAAACATTGCAATGTAGCTACACGCGGGCTTGCTTGGGAGTACGTACCTTAGCTGTGTGGAAGGTGACCCCATTCTTGATGCATTGCGACGCCATCTTCATCTTTAGTGCTCGCCGGCTCACCCTCCCGTACGGCCGGTCCAGATACTTCTGCTTGCCGTCGTCTAAATACACCACGGCTTTTTGCCAAACGTAATCTAGACAGTCCGTCAGGTCTAGCGCCTCGAATTCGTCGACCCACACGCCGTAGTTATTTGGCCACATGGACTCGGGAGCAGGGTCCACGCAGCATACTTTCATGCCGTGCGACGCTACTTGCTGTGCGACGGATAAGCCGGCGGGACCGGCGCCGACGACGATCAGGTCAAGTGTGCCGGCGGTATCTTCGGGATTGTAAGCTGGGAAGGAAATATCGAGCTTCTCAATTTTGATCTCTGGCACAAGATCTAAGAGAGAGGGTGGGTTGTCGGCAACGGCGGGAGAAGCGGCGACAGCGCAGGTAGTATGGCGGGGACTGGAAGCATCAGAACGAACTTGGCCCTTAGTTAAGGAATGCGTGACGGTACTTGAACTGCTTCGGAGACCGACTTTCGCAGAGAGGTTCTGACTGGAAAAACGAGCTGAGTTACTTGGAGGTTTGCGATTGGATGACCTAGACCGTGACGTGCTACTTAATTTAGCGAACTGAGATGTCGCTTGAGTTGGAACGCGTACGGTTGCCATCCCTCAGAACGATCAGCCGACCAAGTGGAAATCAGTGTGATATTTTTTTGCTATAGAAGACGAGGACGCTACTATCCTGATAACTACTGATAGGTCGACCCTTACTTCAAACTCAACGACCCCTATCAGTAATAAGATATGCGTGAGAGATTCCTCACGGTGCAGCACTTGATAAAAGGATTGTCATAAACATTCAGCAGGTGATGGAAGCAAGCTTTCCTTTCTTAGATGGTTGTCACTGGTAGTTTGGTGGGGCGAGCAGATTCAGACTAGAGTAGAGTACAATATCACCCGCACACACAGGTTTGAGACGATTCCGAATGGCTGGGCTTGGCCGACGCATCCCGCGAATCCCAAGGGCAGTGTGAAGTGAAGAAAATGCGTGGCGATGCGTTGACGTGGCAAATCGAGGCCATTGAAGTTGGTCGGATGAATGAATGGGCGGGAACCACCTGTGTGGTGGCACGTGTCAACTCTGAGACCAGACCTGAGATGGTTGTGGTCTGGGAAGTGTATGCTCGGGTAACGACCTTCGTTCGGAGGTATGGCAAGGGGACAGAAAAGTCGCACAGGTTCGGCAGCGTCGAACACTTGCAGAACAGATGGGCTCCCTTTTCATCGGTCACTAAAATAGCTTCGACAATCGCATCGCAACCATCCGTTCTGGCTGAGGTGACGTGGGCACTCTGCAAAACTCGATACAGTACAGAGAGCATTTCAGAAGTACTGGTACGTTATGAGCAACCCCCTTGATAATGTTCAGCCATTAGGAATAATTTGAGTAACACATGCATTAAAGTAGGATGTGAAACATTATATAAATACAATACATATGAAAAATACATTTGACTTCCTTTACTTGGGCATGGTAAGCCTGGGCCTCACCCCAATCACACCAGCTCTTGCATCCCTGTAAGAGTACCTGAATGGGAACAAAAATTACAGCAAACGCTAACAAGATCTAAGGCCAGCATTCACATGAGAGATGTACCGTAAGTGCTTCAAGTATGCAAAACAAGAAACAAGCTGGGTACCTTGCTTCATGGAGAAATCTCTTCACCGCCATTGGCAAATTCGGCTGCCCCCCACTGCTGTGCCGCCCCACACCTGCAAGCAGCATATAGTTGTTGGGGACAAGAAAGCACACATCAGTATGGAGAAGCCTGAAGAATTTGAAGTGACCCGTTCATCCGTCCAAGCGCCTTGCACGTGCATGCATTTACAAGCATCAGCTCAGGAATAAAACCCAACATGTAAAATCAGGCTGTTGCAGCTGCACAGCAACCTCGCCAATCAACATCCAAGCACCATTATTCTGGGCACTCACCAGTGATGACCATCAGCTCAGGCCGAGCTGACGACAGCACCTTAGCTGGGAGAACCACACCACTGCTCCGCCACACCTGCTCTTCTGCTGTCACCTGCTCTTCTGCTGCACCAATGCTGCTCCTCCCTGTCTGCTCTTCTACAGACGCCTCCCTTGCTGCAGCATTCTCCTGCACACTCACACCCGCCTGCCCTTCCAGCTGCCTCAACCTCCCCTCCAGCGCGGATACAGCCTCCCCCGGTAAGAGCCCGTGCAGATCCAGCTCCCACAAGGACCGCCCCCTGTTCCTGTGCGCCAGAATCTTCCCAGCAGCTTCCGTGTGGAGGCTCTCTGCCCGCTCCTTCTCCTCTCTTGACGCGTGGGAGAGTTGCCGGGCAGCTGCGTGGTCGCCCCTGTCGTATGCTCGGGCAGCTTGTCCCGCGAGCCGTGCGTGTGCTCTGAAAAGGAGCAGGAAAAGAGGGGACGGTGTGAGAAGTGAGCAACGGGAAACGAAAATCGATTGGTGGGGGATGAGATGAGATGAGATCAGATGAGAGGAGAGGAGAGGAGAGGAGAGGAGAGGAGAGGAGAGGAGAGGAGAGGAGAGGAGAGGAGAGGAAAGCAACGGAAAGGCGAGGACAGGGGAGGAAAGAATGCAGCATGAAGCAAGGGAGAGCGGAGACGGAGAGGAAACAAGGATGTGAGGCCTGCTATCGCCTCTCCCTCTGCTGCTATCACCGCTCTCTCACCTTGATGCTGCTATCACCGCTCTCTCACCTTGATGCTGCTAAAGCCTCTGCTCGGAACGTCCGGAAGACATCCACGTCATCACAGTCACCATCCACATCATCATGACCATCAGCCTCCCTCGGCTTCCCGCCTTCCTCCTCCATCTCTCCCGCCCTCCTATCCGCCTCGTCCCCCACACCCGCTCCCGCTACCCTTTCACACGTTCCTCCCATGGCCCCCTCTCCCCCATTCCCCCCCATTCCCCCCATCGCTCCCTCTCCCCCCATATCCGCAAGTATTGCTTCCGCGGCTGCTCGCTCCCCCCCCACCGCCGCCAGCACCCCTTCCACCACCTCCCTGTCCGCCCATCCGAATCTTCGCAGAAGCTCACTCGTTACGGCCTCTCTGCACGCCGCCGCCCCCGGGGGACCCGCCCCTGGCGACGCGGCAGCAGACGAGTTTCGGGACGTCTCGAAACTCGCTGGCGACGCGAGAGTGGAGGCGGCTGCTCCCGAGGAGCACGCTCGCATGTCGCTGCTAATACCGGAGTGTGACAATAGCGAGGAGAATTTCTTTGGCCGTCTCGCGGCGGCAGCGGGGCTATTGGTTTCGAACTCCAAGGAGCGAACCGTTTCCGAAGCTTCCTTCGAAGCTTCGTCAGTAATCGAGGGAAACTCGGTGGCTGAAGTGACGAGCGGGGCGGGTGAGCTGCTAGCGGAATGCGCGGGATGGACACGACACGCGAGCGCGGAATTCGCGGGGGCATCGGCGGGAAGAGAGTGCGCAAGGGGGGAGGACTGCGCCATTGCAGCGGACCACCCCACGCGCTCAAACTTCTCCCCCCGCTTGCCGCGCTTTCCCGCACCCCACTGTTCCCCAGCCAAAGGCATCCCGTGTTGCAGGTGGTTAGCTAACCACGACCTAAAGGGACCTACGTCGACCTAAGAAGAAATCGGTGTGACTAGCAGTGACTAAGGGGGAGTAAGGACCTAAGAAGAATATGAGCTACTTGTGTTGGGGCGGTAGATGAAGGAACACGGCAGCGGCGGAACCTATGGTGAGAAACGGAGAGAACAAGAGGGAGCGTGCGGATGTGGAGAAGATCAGGGCTGAAATGTCGAGATTTGAAGTGAAGTGAAGGGAAGTCACGCCGGGTCAAAGGCGCGTCCAAGGAAGTCTGAAATTCGAACTCGAGGCGCGTTCGGTGCATGGTTGGATTTGGAAATTGAGCCGAGTTCAAGTCAGCTCGAAATTAGGCGCGGCGCGAGGGCGAAATCAGAAATCATTTTGCTTATAACTTGCTTTGTGTTTTCTGTTTTTGTATGCCTTCTTCAATGAAATTACTTGAACTTTCTGCCTTGACGTTTTCCAGCAAATTCCTTCACACAGTTGAGGCCAGAGCTTCATATGCTTGTTACTAAGACTCTAAATAGTCTTCATAGTCTAGACTAAAGGCTGCGCACGTACAAGAGCTGGTATCAGAGCTGGTTTAAGGCGTGTTCTAGCGTTTTGAGGATAGGCGGAATATACTAAGTATGACGGACGATCATACTGAGGCGAGTTCGGGCTCCTCTGTGAGCATTGGAGGCTCAGAACTACAGGCCATCCTAACAGCGCTAGCACAAGCTAAATTGACGGCGAAGCCAACGATTGGGCTTAGCGAGGCCCAACGGTTCCATGGAGAAAATTATAGCACGTGGCGACTCAAGTTCATTCGTAGAGCGGAGGAAGTCGATCTCTGGCCATACTATCATCCCGACAAGGAGACGGGAGAGGGCATCCCACCATCTGCAAAAGAAAAACCAGAAGAAAATGCGTCATTCAAAAAAAGGAGTAAGCAAGCCTTTTTTCAATTGTGCCATTCGGTTTCTGACAGCATTGCAGTGGGGCTGGATCAATTTGCGGGAGAGGAGAACTCTGCCGAACGAGCCTGGGAGTACATGGAAGCTGCTTACCTTGGGCTTACGGATACGAACAAAGCAGCCATTCGGAAGAAACTCCTTCTATTGAGTATGGAGCCGGGAGAGAGGGTCATTGACTACATGAATCGAGCGAAGGGGTACAATGACGACCTCAAGGCTATGGGGGCAGCTGAAACTGAAGGAGAAATGATGGGGTACATCATTACTGGGCTGCCCAAGGAGTGGGAAGCAGAGAGGGCTCCTAACCTGCAACCCACCCGTGAATATGACCAAGCTGTTGGAGACGCTCCAAGCTCTGGAGCGGGTGAAAGCTGATCGGCTCAGGAAGGAGGTTAGCTTGAATGGAATGGGACCAGCCACTCATGCCATGGTAAACGCAGCAGCTACAGGGAAAGGATATGGAGGATTCGGGGCGTGTTTTCAGTGTGGAAAGAAGGGTCATAAGCAGATAGACTGCTATGACAACCCAAGGAGCAGAAATTTTAAAGGGAAATGGAGCGGTCTGCAGTAGAAGGGGCTGCAGAACGGATGGCAGAGAGAGGGGGAGGTTCGAGGTGATAACAAGATGCAGAGAGGCGGATTTTCAGGGGTATGTCACTATTGCCAGAAAATTGGGCATAGGGCAGCCAACTGCTACTCGAACCCGAACAGCAGGAACTACCGAGGGGCAAACCAGCAGCAGAATCAACCAACAGCAGCAAAAGCAAATGCAGTGGAAGCTGAAAACAGTGAGGCGGACATAATTTTGGGGGGAGCTCACAAGGCAAACGTGGCAAGGGCATCGGGAGTGTGTTTGATGGCAAAGGGGTTTGGTGAAGCTGCGTGGTTCATGGATAGTGGCTGCACGCAACATATGACCAACCATCGTGAGTGGCTTACCGGATTGAGGGAGTCTAGTGTACCCTACGTTCTGTTGGGCGATGAAGGAAAACTGAGTGTGAAGGGGGAAGGAGAGTTGCTGCTCCAGGGAGAGTACGGGGAGCTGAAACTGGAGAATGTGCTTTTAGTGGAGAAGCTGTCACTGAATCTGATCAGCCAAACTCAACTTGACAGCACGGGGTGCAAAACCTTCAGCGACAAGGGGAAGCTGTGGGTTTTCAATGAGGATTGGAAGGTGGTTGCCCAAGGGAACAGAAATCAGGGGTTGTATGAAATGAAGCTGAGGAAGAAGGGGCTGGAGGATGAGAATGCCACCTACCTGCCATCACTCGAAGGGGACCTAGCTAGGGAGGAGTTGAAGGCTCGGCTTGGTGGCTTGCCAGTGAAGGAGCTGCAGCAGGAAGCTTCAGCCATGGTGGTTGGGATGGAGAAGGTGAAATTGGAGACCTTGCACAGGCGCATGGGGCATGCAAGCATGGATAGGGTCAAGGAGTTGGTAAAAAAGGACATGGTAAAAGGTGTGGCACTGAAGGAGGGGGCTGGAAGCAAGGGAAAATGCAGCAAGTGTGTTGAAGGTAAAATCACAAAGTCCCCTCACCCCCACCACCAGGTACATGAGCCTTATGGCACCTTGGACATCGTAGCTGCCGACGTGTGTGGGCCTATGAGGGTGGCATCACGTCACGACAGCCGCTACTTCGTTACCTTCACTGATTTGGGAACAAGGCACACATGGGTGACGGAGCTGAAAGATAAGGCAGAAGTGTTTCCTAGCTTCGTGACTTGGATGGCGGAAGCGGAGCGGCAAAGTGGGAAGGTGCTGAAAGTTTTAAGGACAGATAATGGAGGGGAGTTTACTGGTGAGCTATTCAACAAGTTTCTACAGAGTAAAGGCATCCGACGGCAGCTGACTGTACCCTACACTCCACAGCATAACAGCATAGCGGAGCGGGTGAATCGGTCACTACTAGGCAGTGTGAGGAGCATGCTTGCCGACAGTGGGCTGCCACTGAAGTTCTGGGGTGATGCATTGGCAATGGCTTGCTGGTCCAAGAACCGCCTACCTACGAAGGGACTTCAAGAAGATATGACTCCCCACGAGGCCTTCTATGGCAGGAAGCCGAATCTGGGGTTTGCACGGGTGTGGGGGAGTATGGTGCAATACAGAGAGCCAGCTGGTCCGGATCATAAGTTGCTGCCCAAGGCTCATTGGGGGATTAACCTCGGTACCTGCCCAGTGAGCAAGGGGTGGGTGATAAAGGATGTAATTTCAGGAAAGGTCACGATCACCCGGGATGTTGTCTTCTACGAGGAGGTGAACTACCTGTAGTGGAAGGGAATAGAGAAAGAGATTGCAGCAGCAGGGACAGCAACTGCACCGGACAAGGTGGAGGATCTTTTGGAGGAAAAGGAGAGTGAGGGAGTTGGAGATGAAGGAGATGAGGAGCTTGAAGATGTGGAACGGGCAGATTCAGTCGATTGGGTGTGGGAGAAGGTACCAACCAGTGAAGCGGATGAAACCAATGGAGTGGAGATAGCAGGGGAGCAGCCAAGCAATGAAGTAGCTGAGGGTGGCAATGATGAAGTGGCTGGAGAAGAGGGAGATGAAGAATCAGCAGCTGAAGGAGATAGTGATCCTTGGAAGCTCCTAGATAGTGAAGACAGCAATGTCAAGATGAGAGAGATAGCGGACCTGCTTAAGGAAGGTGCCATCATCATTGGAAGGGAAGTGAAATCTGGAGATGAGAATGAGAAGGCAAAGGAGGATCTCAGTGGAGATGAGGCTGAATCACCTACAGAGGAGTTGGGGAAAGGAAAGAGGGTGAAGAAACCAAACCCTCGGTATGCGCAACTGCTGATGACGTGCTGGAAGGACATCCATACCCACCTTCTACTCTCTGCCACAGCTACTGACCTAGTCTCCAATGAAGGAAAAGTGACCCACAACCTGCCCAAAGAACCAGTGAGCATCGAGGAAGCGCTAGAGGGTCCAGAAAGAGAGCAGTGGAAAGCAGCAATAGAGGAGGAGTTGAACACATTGGCTGAAAGGGGCACATGGGAGCTCATGCCTATGCCGGAAGGGAGGAAAGCCGTGGGGGTGAAGTGGATTTTTAAAATCAAGACCGGAGATATGGGGCAGCTGGAAAGGTTCAAAGCAAGGCTTGTAGCCAAGGGCTACACTCAGGTGGAGGGGAAAGACTACCAACAAAATGAGATCTACGCTCCAGTGAGCAAGTTGGCAACGGCACGGGTCTTTCACAAGGTGGTAGCAGCAAGAAAATACTTCATGGTGCAGCTGGATATTAAAAACGCGTTTTTGTATGGGGTGTTGAAGGAGGACATCTACCTCGAGCAACCACCAGGGCATGACGACGGCTCGGGCAGAAAATGCAAGCTCAACAAGGCATTATATGGGCTGAAGCAGAGTCCTAGGGAGTGGTACATGGCAATGGATGAACGGCTGCTGCAAGGGGGATTTCAGAAAAGTGAGTGTGATAGGGCGTTCTACTGGAAGGGAGAAGGGAAGGAGAAGGTGTTCCTGGTGCTATATGTGGATGACATCTTGGTGGCTGGGGTGTTAGAGGAGGAGGTAGAGAAGGTGTGTGCTCATCTTGCGGAAGTTTTTCAAGTGAAGCAGATTCCGAGGACCACACTCTTTCTCGGCATGAATCTGGAGCGACGTAAGGAGGAGAGGAAGATGTTCCTATACCAGCAGAAATATTGCAGCAGGGTGCAGCAGAGGTTTGGCAACGACTACACGAAGGCAATTTCTACTCCACTGAGTGGGGTAGCTGAAAGCGACAGTGAAAGGGAGGAGGATGTCAACCAATGGGGCTGCAAAGAGAGAGCTCTGCAAGTATATCAGTCTATGGTGGGGTCTATCATGTATCCGGTCTCATGCACGCGCGTCGACATGGCATACGCAGCTAGCTATCTTGGGCAACAAGTGCAGCAGCAAGGGGAGAGAAAATGGAGAGAGATGAGGAGGACTATTGACTACCTACTGCAACATGAAGATGAGGGGCTGTTATTTGAAGGAGGTGAAGAGACCTTGGAGTTAGTGGGGTATGCGGATGCTTCACATGCATCCGACAAGAAAACAAGGAAGGGAGCATACGGTTACGTGTTTCTGCTCGGTGGGACAGCCATCATGTGGCAAGCGAAAAGGTTGGCTGACATAGCGCTCTCTAGTGCGGAAGCGGAGTACATGGCTCTGTTTTTCGCGTGCCAAGAGGGGGTTTGGTTGAGAAGGCTACTCAAGGAGATGGAAATCAAGGTGGAAGGGCCGACAGTGATACGCACGGATAGCAAATCTGCCATCGACTTGGCTCACAACGACAATTGGCACGGGAGGACCAAGCATATGGATGTGAAGTATCATTGGGTGCGTTCAAAGGTGAGTAGCAAGGAGTTCAAGTTTGAATTCGTACGTACGGAGGCACAAGCAGCAGATTTTCTGACTAAGGTGTTACCAAGGGCTAATTTTGAGCGTTGCAAGAGAGAGGTTGGGATGCGTACTTTGGCTGAATTGCAGGGGAGTGTGGAGCAGGGCTAGAGGTGGTTCAAGTTGAAATGTGCGAGGGAGAGTGCATAAGCTGGTGGTTAGCAAACCACAGGGGAGATTGTTGCAGGTGGTTAGCTAACCACGACCTAAAGAGACCTACGTCGACCTAAGAAGAAATCGGTGTGACTAGCAGTGACTAAGGGGGAGTAAGGGGGTGTCCAGCTCGTACATTTACTGTTCGTGAACCCGCTCAGTTACCACATTTTTTGTTGTAACACTGTATTGAACGTGTCCTTCGGACACAATCAGCTTTCGTTCACAAGACGGCACGCCCCCTGCACGTACCTAGAATCGTCTGACTCACGTTACTGGAATCAGCGGGGACGCGAACAAGGGTACAGTACCGCGTCCTGGCCACTACAGTGGTCCCCCCTGAATCGCTTGCGCAATTTCGCCAGTACCTCGCTACAATCGCCAACACCCCCCCGCCTGCCAAAAAATTCGTTAGCTATGATTGACGAGGGAAACTGTTACCTCGTTTCGAAAGCGATCAGAGCACTGTTGATTCGTGTGGCGGGGAACGTGTCCGCGCTCCTGAAATTAGAGGTAGGTTGGACTCAACTCACAATGCATTCGTTTTTAGGTATAGTGATTATATTTGAGCCTCGAGACGTGTGCTGGCACTAAAAAACCCGAAATGAACGAACTGGACACGCCCTAAGGACCTAAGAAGAATATGAGCTACTTGTGTTGGGGCGGTAGATGAAGGAACACGGCAGCGGCGGAACCTATGGTGAGAAACGGAGAGAACAAGAGGGAGCGTGCGGATGTGGAGAAGATCAGGGCTGAAATGTCGAGATTTGAAGTGAAGTGAAGGGAAGTCACGCCGGGTCAAAGGCGCGTCCAAGGAAGTCTGAAATTCGAACTCGAGGCGCGTTCGGTGCATGGTTGGATTTGGAAATTGAGCCGAGTACAAGTCAGCTCGAAATTAGGCGCGGCGCGAGGGCGAAATCAGAAATCATTTTGCTTATAACTTGCTTTGTGTTTTCTGTTTTTGTATGCCTTCTTCAATGAAATTACCGTATGGCCCCGGATAGAAGCGCAGGCCTATGTTAAGCGCATGCGCTTGTATCTGGAGCAATGCGCTTATGGCCGATCCTCAATTATAAGCACACCCCTTATAAAACCCTGATTTATTATAAGCGCATGTATAAACATATTTCAAAAAAACGGATTAAAACAGTAACGACTTCCCGTTTTAAAGCGAGTCCACATCCACTTCTACTCTGTTTGACTCCCTCGAGGGCAGGCTCGCTCAGTAAAAGCGCAACAGCGCGAAGTTGACCTGACAGGAGGGCTCGGGAACACCTGTTGTCTGTGCGCTGCGAGCGAGCGACTGCAGGCTATTGGTCGTACACTGGGGCAAGCCTGTGCGATGCGAACGAGCGACTGCAAGCTATTGGTTCGTACACTCTCATGGTGCGAGCATGACACATTCCTATGCGAAAGTGACGTGTCCTTGCCCTTGTGCGCCAGCAGAGAATCGCCCTCGCGAGATTCTGATTCAGAACGCTCCACACATTTCGATTTGAATGAAATTGCAAGACTCTAATGCACAGTTTGGTGCGTTTATAACATATTTCTGTGTTTGTTATTATATAAGCGCATGCGCTTATAATTTTGACTCATTTATAAGCGCACCCCCCTAAAAAACACTGTTTTATTATAAGCGCAGATGCGCTTCTATCCGGGGTATTACGGTACTTGAACTTTCTGCCTTGACGTTTTCCAGCAAATTCCTTCACACAGTTGAGGCCAGAGCTTCATATGCTTGTTACTAAGACTCTAAATAGTCTTCATAGTCTAGACTAAAGGCTGCGCACGTACAAGATCCCGCCGCGTAAGCTAGAACTGAGGCAACGGCCTTCAACACGTGTACATGGGATATGGAGGGCGATCAGATAAAACCTCGGAATGGAACATTGACGCGGCTCCCAAGTGAAATGGGGTCTGACAGGAGGAGGATGCGAGACGGGGTTTCGAGAAAATTGGTAACCAGACGGGTATATTGGAAAATCACGCACCCCGATGCAACCTGCTTCGTCAAAGCAAGAGACACACATCAGTTTATGTAGACGCAAGAAGATAATATAATACAGAGAGTTAGCCACATTCAAGTCAAAATCACATCGTCTCAGTGATAACGGATCAGAAAGTCGAATCAGCAACAAACCACTACTTGCAGGACCGCTTCACTTTTGGCCATGGAAAGCGAATCTGTTCTGAAACCCAAAACACCCCTCCAGTTCAAGAAAGCAGTGGTCGTCGCAGCCAGCGTACGATGCTGCGGAAACCAGCTAACTCCTAGTCTCGGATCGTCAACCCTCTCGTCAAGTAGTGTCTTAACCAATAAGACGGGACCGGTGCTCCTTTGTGCATCATCAGACGAGAGCATAACACTTGGAGCCACAAGTATGTTAGCCACCACACCGCACTGCACCACACTGCACAGTGACTTCTTGGATGAGGTCTGTGTTTGCTTGCTCTCTGCAACACAGCACCCCTTACAGTCACTCTAAGCCCTCAACCAGTCCCCACTAACCGTCTAGTCCCCAGTACTCTTCCCTCCTCACTCCCCCTTGCCTCCCACACTCTCCTCCTCATCATCATCACCATCACTCCCCCCACCACCACCGGCGGCAGCAGCAGCAGCAGCGGCGGCGGCAGCAGCACGCATGGCTTGCGGTTGGGCACGGGACGAAAAGATGGTCCCAGCAGATCGAGCAATATCTTTCTTTCGCCGCCCGGACGAGTGCGGCTCGAGAGAGGAAGTTTCTGAGGAAACTGACGCGCTGGATGGCACACGGGGGATGTCGACTGTCGTGTTAGTGACCACCCATGGATGGTCTGTGGTGGTGTGTGTGTGGAGGGGGGGGGGGGAGAGACGGGGATGGGAAAAGGGGAGTGGATTGTTTGAGGTGCCTCAGAAAGTGACACACTACACGGCACGCGGGGGATGTCGACTGTGGTGTTGGTGACCACCCATGGATAGTCTGTGATAATGCGGGGTATGGTGGGGATGGGGGGTGCGGATGGTGGGGATGGTGGGGATGGGGGGTGGGGATGGTGGGGTGGGGATGGTGGGGATGGTGGGGTGGGAAAATAGGGGCGGATTCTTTGAGGTGCCTCAGAAGCTACCGCACTTGAGAGCACCCTTACCTAAAATGACATGCAATCGCATACGTATCTAGAATGAGGTGCAGCGGCAGGCGGTGATTCGGATCAAACGTCGGCACGCGGTGCACGAGGTCTTTAGCCGCACCCGACACCAGCAGCCACACGCCCGAGCTCGTGTCCACCTCACACACTTTCCAAGAAGAAGAACCTCAATAGAAACCCTGTGCAGCAGCAGCACTCTTACCGAGAATGAGATGCAGGGGCAGGCGGTGGTTCGGAACAAACGCCAGCATGCGATGCATGAGATCCTTTGCTGCCCCCGACACCAGCGGCCACACGGCCGAGCTCGTGTCCACTTCACAGCCATGCCGTCAACCATACCCCCCAAACCTAGAACCAGGTGCAACAAATTGCAAGGAAGTTCATACCTAGGATGAGATGAAGCGGCAGGCGGTGGTTGGGGTCGAAGGCCAGCATGCGGTGCACGAGGTCCTTGGCTGCTCCCGACACCAGCAGCCACACGCCCGAGCTCGTGTCCACCTCACCTCACCTCACAGCCATACCATCAGGGGCAGTGGCACACATACCCAGAATCAGATGCAGGGGCAGGCGGTGGTTGGGGTCGAAGGTTAGCATGCGGTGCACGAGGTCCTTTGCCGCCCCTGACACCAGCGGCCACACGCCAGTGCTCGTGTCCACCTCGCAGCGCCGGATCAGCTCATACACGCCCGCGTCCGTGTCGTCCCAGAAGGGAAGCTTCTGGGAAAGCAGCGTGTAGAGGATGACTCCCAGGCTCCAGATGTCTGCCTCGTGGCCGTACAGCCCGTCCAGCACCTCCGGCGCCATGTAGAAGGGCGACCCGGCATACCCCTTCATGCGCTGGCCTGCAGGGTTGGGGTTGGGGGATGGGGTTCAAGTTGGAGTTGGCGGCAAGGCAACAGGATGTCACCCAGGCTCCGGATGCCTGCCTCGTGCCTGTACCGTACATCCAGAACCTCTGGCGCCATGTAGAAGGGCGGCCCGGCGTACCCCTTCATGCGCTGGTGTGCATGACGGTGGAGGTTGGGGTAGGGTTGGAAGAGGGTTGGGGACACCAGGCTCCAGACGGCAGCCTCAGTGGTGGCCGCCGTACAGCACAGCCCGTCTAACCCATCAGGGGGCATGTAGAAGGGCGCGCCCGCATACCCCTGCATGCGCTGGCCTGGATTCGCCATTTGGGGTTGGAAGCGGAGGGGTGGCGATGGGGGTGGGAGGGAGTGGGGGTGGGGGTGTGTGGGTAACTGCTCCCACACCCCTGCACCGTGTGTGTGGGTAACTGCTCCCACACCCCTGCACCGTGTGTGTGCCATGATACCCCTGCCCTGCTCAACACTCACCCCTTCTCCCCTCACCTGCTCTGAGCTCACCCCTCCCCTGCCCTGCTCTCCCCTTGCCTGCTCCCCAATGCACCCACCCACTCTCTGGTGTGACAGCCCTACACCTACCCTCTCCTCCGCCGCTCACCCTTCACCTGCCCTGTCCCATGCACCCTGTGTGCCCTGCACACCATTCACCTGCCCTGTCCCATGCACCCTGTGTGCCCTGCACACCATTCACCTGCCCTGTCCCGTGCACCCTGTGCCCTCTCCTCCGCCGCTCACCTGCTCTGAGCGGCACAGAAAAGCCGAAATCCGCCACGCGCAGGTCCCACCACTGGCCGGGCGAGCCGAGCAGCACGTTCTCGGGCTTGAGATCGCGGTGCATGATGCCGCTGACGTGGCAGAAGTGGATGGTCTGCACGAGCACGCGCACGATGGTAGCGGCCTCCCTCTCGGAAATGCACAGCTGCGTGTTGATGTGATCCAGCAGGTCGCCTCCCGAACACATCTCCATTATTATGTGCACGAACTGAAGGGGGAGAGGGGAGGGAGGAGAAGCGGGGAAGAGGGAGAGAGGGGAGGGAAGAGAAGAGGAGGAGGAGGAGGGGGTTGGCAGCGTCTCTGGTGCTGGGGGGATTCACGGGAGCGGTGCGTGTAGACAAGGTGGGCAGACAGTGGATGGTCTGCACGAGCACGCACACGATGGTGGCGGCCTCCCTCTCGGAGATGCACTTGATGTGGTCTAGCAGGTCGCCCCCTGAACACATCTCCATGATTATGTGCACGAACTGAAGGGGGAGAGGAGGGGAGGGTGGGAGAGCCGGGGGGACGAGCGGAAGATGCAAGGTTGGAATGGTTGGGAAGTGAGCGGGTGAAGGAGGGAGGCAGGGAGAGGAAGAAACACGGGGGGGGAGGGGGGGGGATTGGACAAACATACTTACCTTAGCATCTTCCGCAGTGTCTTTAATCTCCACTATATGCGGATGCCCCTGCAGCTTCCTCAAACGCAGCATTACTAATAGAGGTGACATTGACTCACCTTAGCATCTTCCGCCGTATCTTTAATCTCCACTATGTGCGGATGCCCCTGCAGCTTCCTCATAATCGCCACCTCCGTCCGAACCGCCTCCTCTTTCCTGCCCCCCGTTAGAGTCACCTTGTCTATAGTCTTACACGCGTACTGCCTGCCTGAGCGCCTTTCCACGCACTGGTATACAGTCACCCCCTTCCGCCCCTGCCCCACCTTCCGCCCCATCTCATACCGCCGCGTCACATCAGAAAACCCCTGCTGAAACACACCCATGCCAATCCCCATCCCCATCCCCATGCCCATGCCCCCTCCTGCGCCCCTTCCTGCGCCCCCTGCCCCGCCCGCCCCCCCTCCTGCGCCCATGTCAGCACCGCCAGCGCCGCTGCTCCCACCCCCTCGCACGCTGCTGCTGCTCCCCCCGCCGCTGCCCCCGCCACCAGCAGCAGCAGCGACAGCGGCCGCAGCAGCGGCGGCAGCAGCAGCTGTGGGCGAGGGTCGGAGGGAGGGGGTAGGGAGCGCATGATAGGAAGGGTTGGGGGGGGCAGCCATGGATCGTCTAGCATGCGCGTCAAACGCGGCTGCAGCTTCCGCTGTCATCAACCCTCCCCCTGCGCCTCCCCCTCCCCCTGCGCCTGCCCCAGGTGGACCCGCCCTAGGGCTGACGGGGTGGGCGCTCAGGCTGCGGCTGAAAGTGTCCACTGCTGCGCCCAGCGTTCCCCCGCCTCCCCATGACGCCAGTCCCCGCCTCTTGCCGCCCTCCCTCTGACCTCCCCCTCCGCCTCCGCCTCCGCCACCCCCTCCGCCTGCCCCGCCGCCTGCCCCGCCGCCTCCCCACCCAGAACCGGCAGTGGTGCTTCCGCCCATGCCCCCCTCGCCCGCGCCTTTCCCAGATATCACCTCCCCGCGGGGCGTTTTGGGGCTCTTATTGGCGCGCCTGGGCGCATCCGCGGGCGCGCGGGGGCTCTTAAGCGCAACGTAGTACTTAGGGCTGCTGCTATTCTCCCCCATTCCCGCGCCCCCCCCTCTCTCCCCCCCTCCCGGAGGACCAGCAGCAGCAGACGCCCCGCCTCTCCCCCCGCTTGCACCCGCGGCGGAAGAGGCGGAAGCAGCAGTGGGGGTGATTGCGCCTAGATTCAACCCGCTTCCCCCCGCCCGCGGACTTCTGTGCCAAAGGGGAGGCATAGCCATTGCCATATGCCCCCGCCCCCCCTGCCCCTCCCCCGCTCCTGCAGGCGCTGCCATTGGCGCGTCCCCATCCCACCCCGCGCCTCCCCCTCTGCCCCCGCCCGCGCCCCTTTGGCGGAAGACGTTGCTGCTCGGGCCTGGACCAGCAGCGCGTGCGGAAAGAGGACCCCCCGCGGGGAGGTGCGTGCGGGCGCGGCCTCTGGGGGTGGTAACCAGCGCGTCTAGCTGTAACGGCCGCAGATTCGGCCGCCTGCGGTTCCCTTTGCTATCCGTTTCCCCTTGCTGCTGCGTCTGCGTCTGCTGCTGCTGCTGCGTCTGCTGCTGCGGCAGCTGCTGCTGCTGGCCGTGCGGCCGTTGATACTGCTGCCAAATCGTCCCCCCCAGTTGATTCTCCTCCGCCGCTGCTGCGCCACCCCTTCCCCCCGCTCCCCCGCCCCGGCCCCCACCGCCAGTGGCGCGACCAGCATCCGCGCCAAATGTGCTTCCCTCGCTCTGCCCCGCGGCCGGACCCTCCCGGATGCGTGCGCGCGGGGAGACGAATCCGCGGAGGCGGTCCATGGGGTCGGGGGGTCTCTCCACGCGCCTGGGCGACGCAAACCCGCGCACGCGCTCGGAAAACGCCCCCTTCCCACCCTGCCCGGGCGCTGACGCTAAAGGTACCGCTGACGACGTAAACGTTGACGCTGACGCTAACGGTGCCGCTGGCGCAGCTTTTGACTTGCTGCGCGCCGAGCTAGGTCCCGCGGCGTCGGCGCTCGGAACGTCTTCTGGCAGCAGCAAAACAGCGTCGTCGTCATCATCACTATCCTCGTTACCGTTCTCGTTATCGTTATCGTTATCGTCATCGTTATCGTTATCGTCAAAATGAGAAGCTTTCATTGAGTCCGCATGGGTTCCGCCCATGCCCGAGTCCAGAGTCGCACTCTTTGGCATTCCCATGCCCCCACTTGTGCCTGTGCCTGTGCCCGCCCCGAAACCTCCCGAACCTGTCCCCGAACCTGCCGCCGCTGCCAAGCCTACCGGGCTATTTCCGCTGCTTCCAGTCTTACCCGTACGGCCGCCCATACCGGCCTGTCCGCTTGCCTGCCTGCCAGGCTTGGCACTGCTAGCCCTCTGCTGCTGTTGCGCCTGCTGTTGCGCCTGCTGCGTGGGGGAGATGTTAACGTCCGGGGAGTAATCGGCGGGGGAAGCCGCCGGGGGGAAATCAATGTACTCATTGGCGGAAGTTCGGCGGTCGATGGTGTTAATCGCCAAGTCACTCCCGGAAAACGACAACGACGGAGGGAGGACTCGCGCGTTCGCGTTATACGCGTCCTCGGCAGCAGCAGCAGCCGAAACACTCGGACTCCCGCCCCTCGTTGCCCGCGCTGGGCTCTTCGTGCTTTGCACCCTACCCGCGCCCGCTCTCCCCCCCGCTCCCCCGCCGCCTCCTCCTCCGCCTCCGCCAACGCCTCCCAACCCGGACTTATCTACAGTGCCCGAACCTACAGGGCTGGTTCGGCGGTCGAAGCTAAGTGCCGAGTCGAGGCCTACAGGGCTGCTGCGGGGGCGCTCCGCGTTCCCCAGGCTCCCGTCCGCCCTTCCCCTCTCCGCGTGCTGCGCGTTCCCCGTCGACCGCCGCTCCAGCCTCACCTCAACCCCCTCCAGCCGCTCCCCGCGATCGGCGGCTGTTCCCGAGCCTGTCGCCACAGCTCTCCCCGATCCTGGCGGCTCGGCCGGGCCTGGTACAGCCGCGGCCTCGCTGACGTCAGCGTCGTCATCGCTGAACTCATCCTCGCCGTCGGATTCCTCCCCGCCTGGAGCGCCGGGCGCGAGCAGCCGTCCAAGATCAAGGGCGGCGGGCCGCCGGAACCCCGCGGGAGCCGCCAATGGTTGCGCAGCAGACGCGGACGGCCCCGCGGTAGCGGCGGCAGAGGCGGGGCCTAGCGGAGAGGTTGGCTTGGTGGGAGATGTGATTGTAGGGGAGGTGCGCGTAGGGGAGGGAACTGACGCACTGCCCGCACCGCTTCTCCCGTGAGCGGCACCCGCTGCTGCGCCTCCGGCGCTTCTACCGAAACTCGAGGACGGCGCTAACGGGGATGGCGCGGGGAGGGCTAGCGGAGACGACAATACCGAGTCGGACGACGCGGGGGAGCCGGAAAGCGGGGAGTGTAGCGGCCCGGGGATCCGGAACGCGCCACTCATGGTCGCAGCGGCGCGTGATCTGGCTCGCGCGGAGAGCGGCCCGCTGCGCGACCGCATCGATACCCTTCCCTGCTCGTCTCCCCCTGCAGCCCCCCTCCCTTCCGCGGTCTCGTCCCCGCTTCCGCTCTGGCGCAAGCGCCTGTCTCCGCCCCCGCGCTTCCCCTCCCCTGCTCTCCCCGCGCCCCGCTCCGCCACCCCCGGCTTATCCTCGACCAGAAATTTCAGCAGGCGCGGCGACATGGCTGATAATCCGCCGCCGCGAATGGCGGCTGCCGCCATGGGCGAGATTGCGCTCGGGCCTGCGCCAAATGCACCTGCCCCAGATGCGCCTATTCCCGGCGCTCCTGCCGCGGCCGCTCCCGCGTGAGCCCTCCCGCCGCCACCTGCCACTCTTCCCTGCGTTGCTGGTTTCTGATTGGTCCACGTGGACTTCGGCGAAACATGCAGACCTCGTGGCGACGGTGGTGCCGCTTCCGCCGCGCCACCACCACCAGCCGCAGCACCACCACCTCCCGCAGAAGCGGCAGAAGCAGGGGCAACGGAAGCAGGCGAGTTGATCAGGAGCGCTATGTCCGAGTTATGATCGGTTACGGCGCCGCCTGCGGGGTTAAATATAACGCTGTCGCTACTCGCGACCTCCTCCCTCGAAGCGCCGTAAAACAAGGAGAGATCCTGCAGGCCTTCAGGTACGGGCGGCCTCTCCACCATCGGCGGCGCGACACGTGCTTCGAACGCGCTTGTCGGCTTACCCACCGCGGAACCCGCCCCTACGCCTCCTCCGCCCACTCTCCCCCTCCTGGCTCCCGCAAACGCGCTTTCTCCGCCCGCGCTTCCACCATCCGCGCCTCCGCCAGCCGTTCGCCCCGTCCCGCTTCCCCAAGGTGACGAGCTTCGCTCAGCGTCCACCTGCGAAGAGCTTCGCGCTCGCGAATGCAACCGGCTGTTACCACCCCGTTCAGGCGAAACATGCACCGCCGCTGCTGCCGCAGCAGCCATAGAGCCCGTGCGCGAGCCCGAACTCGAACTAGAAAGCGAAACAGCGGCGGCAGAAGCGGCACCCCACTCGGAAGTCTTGCGCGCGTTACTCCAGTCGTTGTTCTTCGGCCCGCGTGCCCGGGGCGTCGCGATCGCGGCGAGCGCTTTCGCGTGGACGCGTCGCGCCGCCGCTGCGCCGTCCTCGTCCCACCCGACGCCGCCGTCGTTCGCCGCCTCGTCCTCCATAAGAGCCGCCTCGTCAACGGCATGATCCAGAACCATCGACGTCGCGGAGCGGCCCTTGCGCATCGCGCGCGGCGCTCGGCCCGGGCGCGGACTGAGCATGCCGGATAATAAGCTGCTGCTGTGTCCCGCGGGAGTGTGAGAATGAGAGTGAGATTGAGAGTAAGCGCGAGCGTGGGCGTTGGCTTGCCGAGGGGAGAGCGATCTACGGCTCTGAGGAGACGACGAGTCTTCAAAGTTCTCAGGAATGCGCAAGGAAAAGGTCTTGGCGAGGCTACGACCAGTACCGGAGCGGCTACTAACGGGTTTCTGACCGGAAGGGGAATCGCTCCGAGGGGGTGAGTATAGATCGCGACGGTCCTTTGTTCCGAAGGACCGGCTTCCGGGCCGCGGCTTAGAGTCTCCTCGGGAACTATGGATAGCCGCAGAACTGAAAGGGACATCGTCATCGTCAGGCAGCGGAACAAACGTGTCTTCTATGAAGTTAGACCCGGAGACCTGATAACGCGGCTCAAATCGAGTGTCTTGGAAAGAGAAATGAGACGACCCGGCGGAAGAGCCGGGATCCTGCGGTCTCCACGCTGCTTCGAAGGTCGCCATATTCTCCGGCGGTTTAGGCAGATTAGACTCTGCCTGCTTCATAAGGCCTACCGCATCGGCCAGTGAGACTACTCCTAATAGTTAGAACACATTCCAATGAAGTCAATAAAGACCGATTTCAGGAAAGCAATAATCTTACGAATTTTGAATTGAAGATGAAGAACGTTCTTCTTGAGGCTGGATGTCCGTTCTGTGCTTATTTGATTTGTCTCGGCAGGTCCGGTGGGGATAGGATTGCAGCCATTGTCGTCGTCGAAACCCTAGACGACGATGCACAGTGAGGAAACTGAAATCAATGCATTCACTGTTGTGCCTTGATTTGCAGCGTGTGGTTTGGTTGGTTTTACTTCGGTACAAGGGTTTCCGAGATGGTTGTGCTGGGTTGGAAGCTCCCAAGGCTAGGTTCTGGTGTTTGCGCAAGGACCCAACGCAATCTCGTTGCGCATGTTACAATGGGAGGGGAGAGAATGGACAGCACAGCGGTACAAGTTGAAGTCAACACGGTGCTGCGGTTTATTGCACTGCCTTGTAAGAATCACAGTGGACACTGATGAAATGCACGCTTGCTGATCGTTCCAAAATCGGTATGGGTTTGTTCGGTTTGGAAAGAGAAAGTGAAATCGATCTATAGGGTTGCTTGCTACGCAACCCAAAATGCAACACTTCGCAAACCGCAAGCCCGTGTTTCTTTGGCATACGATGGAACCTAGGGTGTGTTTTTATCCCTTCAGACTTCAGGTCAAAGCTTCGGAAGACACAAAGTGACTCGGTATGTGTCTTCCGAACCTAAATTTGCCAGCATTCAGAGTCCCTTTGGGTCTTCCCAGCCTCAACTTCGTGTCTGCATTCGTGTCTGACACGGGATAGGAACGCGCCTCTAGTATGGATGGCTGAGTTGACAAGGATATTACAACAATGGACTACCCTAAATAAACTAGTACGCTTCCTGCGTTGACACTAAACGTATTGCAAGTAATTGTTGCGCTCTTTACAAAGCTTGATTTCAATGGCTCGCGGTAGAATATAGTGTAACCAGAAATTCGACTTTTCGGGGCGCTATCTGGGTCTTTGTGTTGGGGGTCTGGTGCTCGTGGAGCTTCGAGGCTGCCAATTGCAAAGAACGACAAATAAAACATCTGAATGATCGTCGTTGTCACCGTACAAACCCATCCGTTTCTGTACAATGCCGCGTTTTTAAAAGCCGCCAGAAAATCACAAAGCGATCCCAGGGCCTGAGAATGTGCAGGAAAGTCACAAATCTTACAAACAGTTTTTTTTTGGGTTGCGAAGCAACCCTTTACGATCGATTTTGACAAATTTTCTTTTCATGTTTTTTTTTACATGAAAATAAAATTCGTAAGATACAGTACCACCCTTCCCATTGTGCATTTCTTTGTAGTAGTTTTTTTCTTACATGCTATACTGTTTACTTTATATCTTTTACTGTTTGATGTTGTAGTGATAACTTCACGTATTGAATGTTACGAATATTAGTAATGAAATACACACCACGCATGCTTAAATGTGTGGAAACAAAGAACGAGAATGGAATGACTATGAACGAAGTGAGTACAAATAGGAAACCCTAATTGGGTTGTACCCCTATGGGATACCCCACTATAGCCTACAGAAACAAGTAAGCTATAAGTTCTGACACACCCCCATAGGCAAAGTGGGGGAGAACAAGGGGTCACAAAACCAGTCAAGCAAAGCAAAGCAAAGCTCAGGGTGGATCACAAAGTCACCACGCATTCCGAGCACAAGTTCAAAGGCCACAAGGCCAGTTCACATGCAAGATCATATATAGAGATATACAAGAACAAGAGTATATATATGCGAAAGTACAAGCAAGGTCAAGAGGAGAGCAAGTGAGGCAAGACAGGCACAAGACCCAACTGCGTGCAGCAACGCTGATGATCACAAGGCGCAAGTGCCTTGGTGAAGACATCAGCAGTGTTGGCCTCAGAGGCCACGTACGCAAGTCGCAGCTGTCCACGCTGCTGTAGCTCACGAGCAAGAAAGTAACGAAGAGCAATGTGCTTCGTTCTGTGCTCCAGTCGCTGCTCTCGACACAAGGCCAGCATGGCCTTGTTGTCTACGTACAGGACTGGAGGAGAACGAGGCTGCTCTCCAAGGTCGGTCAGCAGGTAGGTGAGCCAGCGTAACTCCTGTGCAGCCATAGCCCCAGCGTAGATCTCAGCCTCACAACTGGAGCCGAGAACAGAAGACGAGCGGGTAGCCCGCCACGAGACAGAGCCGGAACCAAGGCTGAAGGTGTAACCCTGTGACGACCGCTGCGTAGCCTGGTCGTCAGCCCAAGAAGCGTCTGCGTGCCCAGTGAGGACCACTGGACTGCGCCCTCCAAGCACTAGCCCCATGCCCGACGTACTGCACAAGTAGCGCAACACCCTCTTCGCTGCAGCCATGTGCTCTGGTCGGTGTCTCCCAGGAGCAACAAAGCGTGCGAGAATGCTAAGAGGGTATGCGAGGTCAGGTCGTGTGCAGGTCATCAGGTACATGAGGCAGCCAACAAGCTCTGCAAACGGGCCACTCGACTCTACGGACTCATCCGAAGGCAGAGCTGAGAGCGAGTGGCGAGTAGGCAGAGGAGTGGCCTGAGGCGAGGAGTACGTGAAGCCGAAGCGCTGAAGGACCTGCTGCACCATGTGTGACTGAGTCAGGGTAATGGTGCGGCGTGCTCTGTCCCGGGTGATCTGCAAGCCAAGGTAGCTGCGCAGTTCACCCAGGTCAGTGCACGTGTGTCTCTTCAGCAGCTCGGACTTCACGTAGGCGAGTCCAGCAGTGTCAGCTGTGGCAAAGACCAAGTCGTCGACGTACACGAGGATGTAGAACGGCGGCAGAGAGGTGTCGGTGCACAGAAACAGCGACGGGTCGGTAGTGGAAGGAGCAAACCCAAGTGCCGCGAGCGTAGTCCTCAGTGTGTCGTGCCACTCACGTGGCGCCTGGCGGAGACCGTAGACTGGACGCCGGAGACTCCACTGGGTACCAGGAGGGAAAGACCCAGTGAAGCCAGGTGGGCGACGCAGCCAGATCTCCTCGTGCAGGCTGCCCTGCAAGAAAGCTGTGCTGAAGTCGAGAGAGTGCAGCTCGTAGTCACGGTGAGCAGCAACGTGTAGCAGAACCCGAAGAGTGGTCATCTTCGGGGTGGGGGAGAAGGTCTGAAAGTAGTCAACCCCCTGCCGCTGACTGAAGCCACGAGCCACGTAACGCGCCTTGAAGACAGGCGGAGAACCCGGCGGCCGCTTCACCCTGAAAATCCACATGCCACTGACGATGTTCGCCCCAGGAGGGGGAACAGCGTCAACGTAGGTGCCTGTGGACTTCCAGGAAGCCATCTCTGCATCCATAGCTGCCTGCCACTGAGAGGAGTAGGGACCCTCTATCGCCTCCGCGTAAGAGCGCGGAGTCGGGATGTCTGGTGCATCCGGGTCTCCCTCAGGGGCTAGCAGTACAGACGCGAGACGAGGTGAAGCGGCGGCCAGACACTGGAACTCTCAGAATAGTAGATTAATCTTAGGCGCCATGGCTAGGTTTTGAGGAAAACGAGAGTAGCGAGGGAGAAGTTGTACCAACAAAAAGAGGGTGATTCAATATTGAGCGAGGGTACAAATAGGAAAGAACCAACAAGAAAGGTGCACCACCAACTAAGAGAATGCTATAACTACAGTAACCAATCCTACAGGCAGTTACATATAGAAAATATTAACTTATATTTTCCGACACGCCCCCATAACTGGCTGTAGGAGAGTATGCAGTTAGCGCACCCTTAAGGGGTACATCACGATTACACAGCGGAAATTGCAGCAACAAACAAGTGCAGTGACAACCATTGCAGTGGTGGCAGATCCAGCTGTAGCACACCCTGGGCCAAGGTAGAAACAGTAGCAGGTGTAGGGGCGGCAGGTCGCCTGAGGAGCAGGCTCTGTGGCTGCAACGTGCAGCAGGACAGCAGCGGCTCGACGGCAGCACCTGCAGGCCCCTAGCAGTAAGCAGTAGAAGCAAAGGCAAAAGAGACAGGTGGCAGCAGGGGCGGCAGCTGGAGGTGCCACGGTAGCAGTGGGCGTCAGCAGCAGATGCCCGGCTGACTTCCGCCACCCCCTCTCACCCTCCCCCCCACAGCTGCAAGCGCGGCAGTGAGAGAGAGGGGAGGGGGGACGGATGTTGGTGCTGCAAAATCTCTCTCGCCACCCCCTCACACTCCCCCCCATCCCCCACAGCGACCGGCGCTGCAGGGAGAGAGAGGAGAGAGGAGGGCGTCGGTGGTTTCCTGCGGGTGCGCTCCCGCCACTCTTTTACCCTCCCCCCCACAGCGACAGTCGCGTATGGGGCGACAAATGATGACGGCAGCTGCTGCAGACTGCTCACAGCGGTCGCCCCGACACACCACCTCCCCCATGGTCCCCCACTCCCACGACCTC